GAGAGAGAGAGAGAGAGAGAGAGAGAGAGAGAGAGTAACAGAGAGAGAGAATGAGGAAGAGAGAGAAACAGAGAGACAGAGAGCAACACACACACACACACACACACACACACACACACACACACACACACACACACACACACACACATACACACACACATTAAATGATTCGAATGTACTATTAGTGACTGTTGTTTTAAATCGTACCTATGTAAGCTATAATTATATTTGTTGACTGTTGTAATTGATTCTGATGCATTTTACTTTTTTGTTTACTGGGGTTGCAAATGATACAGTATTTATACATTTTGTTGACAGTTGTTGTACATGGAGCTGGAAAAAGAAAAAAAAGACCTATAAAAAAAACCCAACGACGAATAAACAACCCCCCCCCCAAAAAAAAAAAAACAAAAAAAAACAACAACAACCCAACAACAAAAAAACAACAACCCAACATCTCTTTGCAGAGGATTCAGGGAGGTTGGGCAGCTTCACCCGCTACCCAAGAGAGGCGGTGGCCCTGGCGAAGAGCACGCTCTTCGGGTCTCCAAACATTTCGAACGGATAGGCTACAACACACACACACACACAACAACAACAACAACAACGACAACAACAAACAAACAAACTAACGATAGAAGATACACAGCCACACCAATCTGAAAGTGAAGTTCGTTGTGTTAAGAAGAGCTTGTGGCTGGGCTAAGGGAAGCTATCCGAATATATTCGTCAGAATTTTAAAATTTTATTTTGATTACGCCCCTTAAAAAATATTTAAACACAGAAAAGTCGAACTAATTACGCCGCTGTAGGGGTCTAAAGTCAATATTCTTTGATATGCACTTGAAACAAGATAATAATGATGATAATAATAAAAACGGAAAAAGGGACGGTCGGTTTTCCACGAAGCAGTTCATGCGTGCTTAGGTCCTAGAGAGAGAGAGAGAGAGAGAGAGAGAGAGAGAGAGAGAGAGAGAGAGAGAGAGAGAGAGAGAGAGAGAGAGAGAGAGAGAGAGAGAGAGAGAGAGAGAGAGAGAGAGAGAGAGAGAGAGAGAGAGAGAGAGAAAGAGAGAAGAATAGCAACTTGTTCAAACCAAGTTGGAGTGTAGAATATAAAAAGGGAAAGAAAGTGAGACTGTGAGAGAGAGGCTGCTGATTTGGAATAAAAGATAAAGGATAAGATAAGATAAGATAAGATAAGATAAGATAAGATAAGATAAGATAAGATAAGATGAGATAAGATAAGATGAGATAAGATAAGATAAGATACATCTTTATTGTCCAGATCCTTGCACATTGGTTTGGTGTTCCTCCACGTGCACACACACACACATACACACACACAAACAGACACAAACACACACACACACACACACACACACACACACACACACACACGCGCACACACATGCACACACACGTAGGCTTACAATCACATGCATAATATAAATGAGCAGCAATATAAACAATAATAATCGGATCGGAAGCTAGATACTCACTCAATGTTTTTTTGATGCATGCTCTAATTTAAAGTCGTAAGTATACTTTTACAAGATGGTTAATTAAGATAGAAGAATTTTGATAGATAATGGTAAAAATGACCTTCTGTATCTTTCTTTGTTAAGGATCAGAAGCCTAGGTCTTTTACTTCTGACTGATGTTTTCATTTGAGGAAACAAGGGATGTGTGTTGTCTAAAACGATGGAATTTTTGTTTTAGTGCAAGCTGTTATATACAATTCATCCAAGTAGGGGAATGAAGGTGTTGAAATTTTACATGCTTTCCGTATTAGTCGATTTAATTTTTCTTTATCTTGTTGTCTTGTGTTCCCGGCCCATGCTGTTATACAAAAATTGATCATACTTTCTATGGTTGAATGGTAGAACATGGACATCAAGGTTTTATCAACTTTAAAATAATTTAGCTTCCTTAGAAAAAATAGTATTTTGTTCACTTTTTTATGCAGGAGAGAAGTGTGGACACAAAGTTGAGTTTGTTGTCTATTGTAACACCCAAATACTTATAGTCTGACACTTGCTCGATGTTTTCACATTTAATTTTGAGTGGCTGCAGGGGCAGTTTCTTTATTCTAAAATCAACAACAAGTTTTTTTGGGTTTTTTTCACATTTAAAAGCAGCTTATGAATTTCACACCATTCAGAAAAATTAAGTACAAAATTCCGGTTAGCTGTTTCGTTATGGTCAGCCTGAATTAGCCCAATTGTGGTTGAATCATCTGCAAATTTTATCAACTTGATGTTACTGTTGTTTATTTGGCAATCGTTCGTGTATAGTGTGAATAAAACTGGTGACAAAACACATCCTTGAGGGGCCCCTGTATTTGTTGTGATGTATGTCGATGAAGAATGTTTTAATTTTACATACTGGGTTCGGTTGGTAAGAGAATTGCCTATCCATGATATTAAATTGACGTTAACACCTATGTTTTTTAATTTCTTTAAAAGGATAGCTGGCTGGATAGTATTAAAGGCTGATGAAAAATCAACCAACAGGATCCTACAGTA